TAAATCTGACTTCCTAGTAATATTTGTATTCATATTGCTGATATTAATAAGAGACTTTTTACAAGAACATTAGTGACAGGACAATAGGGAATGCCTTCAAATTGAAAGATAGAAGGTTTAGATTAGATATTAGGAAGAAATTCTTCCCTGTGAAGGTGGTGAGGCACTGGCACAGGTTGCCCAGAGAAGCTGTGACTGCCCCATCCCTGGGATTGTTCCAGGCCAGGTTGGATGGGGCTTGGAGCAACCTGGTCTAGTGGAAGGTGTCCCTGCCCATGGCAGGAGGGTGCAACTAGATAGTCTTTGATGTCCCTTCCAATCCAAACCATTCCATGATTCTGTGGGCAGACGCTGACAGCCATGAGCAGGGACAGACTGCTCAGCCCTGTCCCTCTGTGCTGTGTGGCTGCACCTGGATCTGCGTAATGTATAGAGAACAGCCTATAGACCCCTCTAGAGCACCTCTGCCTGCAGCTGGGATGTGATCTCAAGCAACAGAGGATGGTTTGTTGACTCTTCAGAGGTTTCAGGACAAGATTTAAGCATCCAAACACCTTCCAGGCTCTGGACTCCAGTGTGTGCTCCACTGCTGCAGGTCTCTGAAAGCAGAGGCTTGAGTCCCTGTCCCTTTTCCAAGTGAATTGCCAGCATTAAACCCCTAAGGTCAAGACTGGAGCAGTACAAGAGCTGTGGGAGGGTTGGCACTGCTCACCAGGGCTGGCTGGGGAGGGAGGAACCAGCTGAGGACCCTCCAGCTTGTTTCCTGCCTGGGCTCTGCCGGGTGGGCCGGGCAGCACGCCGGCTGTTAGCAGCCACACTGGGAAAGCTCTAACTCTTCTAGCCAGATGTGTCGAAAGAACAGCTGCAAAAAAACCCCAACCCCCCCAGGCTGCCTCCAAAAAAACCACCACTGCCCATAAATCACATCTCCTGCCAACCACAGCAGCCCTGGCCCAGCCCACCACTGGTTAGGCTGAGCTCAGCTCCAGCCAAGGTAGGAAGAATGGTCCAGTGGTGCATAGTGAGGCCATAACACCACAGGTTTTGGCAAGGTAGATCACCTTCCACTCCTGCAGCCAGGGTGGAGATGATGGCTATGACTCATTAGGAGAGAGGCCAGGGATGGCTGTGGTTGTAGAATCAAAGAATCATAGAATGTTAAGGGATTGGAATGGACCTAGTCCCAACCCTCTGCCATGGCCAGGGATACCTCCCATCAGACCAGGTTGCTCAAGGCTTTATCCAACCTGGCTTGGAACACTGTCAGGGTTGGGGCAGCCACAACCTCCTTGGGCAACCTGTGCCAGTGTCTCACCACCCTCACAGGAAGACATTTCTTCCCAATATCTAATCTATATTTCCCTCTTTCAACTTATCCCCATTACTCCTTGTCTTATCACTGCAGTTCCTAACCAAGAGTCCCTCTCCAGCTTCCCTGGAGCTCCTTCAGATACTGGAACATTGTTATGAGGTCTCCACACAACCTTCTCTTCTCCAGACTGAACAGCCCCAACTCTGAGCCTGTCATCATAGGGAAGGGGCTCCAGTTGTCTCATCAGCTTTGTGGCCTCCTCTGGACTTGCTGCAACAGTTCATGTCCTTCTTGTGCTGGGGACACCAGAACTATGTGCAGCACTCCAGATGGGGTCTCACAAGAGCAGAGTAGTGGGGGAATATCACCTTCTTCAACCTGCAGCCCACACTCCTTTAGATGCAGTCCAAGATTCAGTTAGCTTTTGGGCTGCAATTGCAGTTGGGTCAAAATGCTCTGTGGTTGCTTTGTCTTCCTGTTCTTGCATTTGAAAAGCCTCACCTGGAGAATGCCAAGGCTCAAACAGCTATTGAGCATGCAGGAGGCAGAAGTACCTCCCAATAAATTCCTTGGCTTTTTGCTGTTGGAATGGGAGAGATGCAGACGCATTTGGTCAGTAGATGGAAAGAACAAAGACATCCCAAAATGGGATAATCTCACTTTTTTATTATCCATACCAGGTCATTGCTTTCAATTTATTACACAAAAATCGTATCTTTTGTTTTAAATAACATTTCCAGACCTCACAACCACAGAGGGACAAATGCAGAAATATAATCAGAGTGCTCCTTGGTAGCTCAGAGATGGACAGAAAAAATCCCACCTAAGAAAATCTGCTGGCTGAAATTGCTGAGACACGTGGAGCAGGAATCTGCCCTTGCAGGGAAATGGATGCACAGAAGGTGGAAAGGAAGGTCATGCCCTGCAGTCTCAGAGGACCAAGGCATGTAGATGTGGTGCAGTGGCCCATACAGATTGAGGGAACTGATGAAAAATACAAATAACCCCAACTGGCATCACTGGCATCTGCGTTTTTTGGAAAAATGCCCTCCAGGGCCGTTCTCCTCTCTGGTTGGCATTGCTTGACTTCCAGCCCATCTGGGTAGTTTTCCAGCTCTGACCACTGTTTTACTGACCTCCAGGACAAGTTACAAATTGCTTATTTAAAAGAAAAACATCTGTTGTGGGTCCTGGAGGATGGGGATGTGTCAGACATGGCTGATCTAAGTGTGTCTGCAGGGGAGTTGTGTGGTGCCTGCCCTTGAGAAGCTTCTGCAAGGGTCTCAAATGAGATCACACTCTGGTCTTGCAGTGCAGAGAGCACACAATGGGGTGTCTGACACCTCCTGCTCTCTAAACTCAGTATGTCCAGGCACGAAAGAATGGAGGTTGGACTAAATGTTCTTTGGAGGTTCCTTCCAACCCAAATTATTCCATGATCATAGAATCACAGACTGGTCTGGGTTGGAAGGGACCTTAAAGCTCACCTGCCATGGGCAGGGGTACCTTCCACTAGACCATGTAGCTCCAAGCCCCATCTGACCTGTCCTGGAACACTTCCAGGGATAAGACATCCACAGCTTCTCTGGGCAGCCTGTGCCAGACCAAACCTCAGCCTGAAGGTGCTCAGATCCGAGGTGCGGTGGGAAGCATTGCCCTCTTGTTCTATTTGCTGAGGAACTGGAAGCAAAATTGTTGTGGTGTTACAAATGTAGTATCTGTAGAGCTTACAAAAGTCAGTGTTCACTTATTTTAATATAAAGTTCCTTATCATATACCAAACTCATGAACCTGTTAGGAACTTCTATGGATCCTTAAGCCTCGGGCAGAAGACTGTGGATGGCCAGGTGACGGGGCAAACTTCTGCTGATGGCTGCTGTGCCACCATGGGCACATTCAGTTGTGCAGTAGAAACCCCAGAGTAGCCCTCTCCCAAATTTCTCAATTGCTGTTTGCATCTGCAAGGTCACAGTTTCACAGTGAGAAGATTGAGGCTCTTTGAGTGGTGGTTACATACTAAATGTCCTGTGAGTATCTGAGATATGTGGTGCTCACTCAGGTCCTCTCTCTGTCCTCGCTCTCAGACTGGAGAAATCTCACCTTACTTAATGCTTTATTATTATTATCATTGTTATTGTTACTTGTTTTCAAGCAGAGATCATACAGTTTGAACATTAACTGATGGCTCTGTGGATGTTTTTCAATGGCCATAACCACACCTTTCCTTTCCTGTTGCAGATGAGACTCCAATTATAGCTGTGATGGTGGCCCTGTCTTCCCTTCTAGTCATAGTATTTATTATTATTGTGCTGTACATGTTGAGGTAAGTAAGAGCTGCTTTTTTGCTGAATTGCCTTGTTTGACAGAAATAATTCCTGAATGAACAGGAATGAGCCTTTTGTGCTGTTTCCTAAGCTAAAGGCTGACACAGCTGGTGCTTTGAAAAGAAACCTGTAAGGACAATGGATGGAAATGATGTTTGGGGTTATCTAGTGAATGATGATTATTCCTTTCTCTATAAAGCTGCTCCTCATATGGGGAATTCGTGTTCTGCTACTCAAAATGTCATATTTAGCAGGGTAGATTAAACTGAAGTCCTATCTGCGTAGGTAAAAGCAGGTAAGGCTTCCTTGTGAGGCTAACAGTGATGGATTGAGTAAACCAGGGAGGCTGAACACAGTGCTCAAGCCAGAAAGTCCTTTGCATGTGTTATTCCTTGATCCCCATCTTGATATCAAACAGGATCTAACACCCAGACCCACGCTCTGCCTTGTGTACCAAACCTGCACGTTGCACTTCCACTGTGAAGTAGCATAAGACCAGAGCTTGTGGAGAGTGTTAGGTGATGCTGTAATTGGAATTGGAAGATTTAAAAAAAAGCCTTTTTAGGTCCATTTTTGAAATTCCAAGCCTCTGGCCTGCTCAAAATGCAGCATTCCCAGCCCCTGAGTGCATATCTGCTTAGTTAGGAGAGGGTGTTTATTCACCTGCAGTAAACATTTTAATTTACTCACCAGTTTGGTGATTAAATAAGTCTTAAAAAACCCAACCAAACACAGTTTCCTTAGCAGTGGAAAATTTCCCTTCGTCTCCTGGCTCCAGGCCTGCCCTCACAGCAGTGAACCTGAGGAGAGTTTTGCCTCAGGAGTTCAGCAGCAGCAGAGTTTGAGTCCTTCCCACCTGGCTTCCAGCCCTCAAAAAAAGAGTTTCTGTTCGCTGCTGCCTGCCCAGTGATTCAGCAAAACTCCTTGTTCCAGGCAAAGGGAGCATAAGCAGCTGCTCCAAGTTAAAAGCACATGGAGAAGGGCTTTGCTGCAGGACGGATCAGCCTGAGGTTTATGTGCTTTGCTGGATCAGCCCAGGGAGCAGGAACTCCATGGGGTGTCCTCCATAAAGAGCAGCCTTAAAGTTTCTCCTCCTGACTTTCATCTTGCTCTGGGCTCCTGCAGCTGTTCCAGATGTGATCAGGGAAAAGTTCTGCCCATAGGCAAGATTTTAAAGGTCCTGTAGCCTCTTGCAGCCACCAGCAAATCTGTGAAGCCATGAGAAAGTGTGGGACACCCCTCATGGCCATAGCTCTCATCTGGGAGGTGACCTGAGCTTCCTGGTGGGTATCTCCTGATGTTTTCCACTCCCTTCTCTTTGGCAGGTTCAAGAAATACAAGCAAGCAGGGAGTCACTCCAACTCCTTTCGGTTGTCCAATGGGCGGACAGATGATGCAGGTGAGGCCCATGTTGGTGGGACACAGGGAGCAAAAATGAATCTCACAGAGGAATCAAATTTGTTCATAAAATCACAGAATCATTTAGGTTGGAAAAGACCTCAAAGATCATTGAGTCCAGCTCTTCCCCCAGCACTGCCCAAGGTCACCACTAACCATGTCCCCAAGTGCCACATCACATGGCTTTTAAATCCCTCCAGGGATGGTGATTACACCACTGCCCTGGGCAGTCTGGGCCAGGGCTGGACAGCCCTTTCTGTGAAGAAATTTTCCCCCATATCCAATCTAAACCTCCCCTGGTACAACTTGAGGCTGTTTCCCCTTGCCACTTGTTCCCTGGGAGCAAAGCCTGACCCCACCTGGCTCCAACCTCCTGTCAGGGAGTTGTAGAGAGTGAGAAGGTCCTCCCTGAGCCTCCTTTTCTCCAGGCTGAGGCCCCACAGCTCCCTCAGCTGCTCCTTGTGCTCCAGGCTCCAGACGCTTCCCAGGTCCCCTGCCCGGTGTAGTGACAACACTTGGGGACTTTGAGGGCTTTGTTCTCCCACCTCATATTTTTGTAGATAAGTATTTTTTCATTTACATTTCCCTTTGTTTCTTGTTCTGCTTTTTCTATGTTTTCCATAATTTTGGCACACTTCTACAGAATGAAGATTTATTTCCCAACTTTCATTCCAGTGACAAGATGTTTGCCCTCAAGTGGTTGATGTTAAAATGGATGATCACTTCCAACACCAAACTACTCACATTCCTCTTGAGTTTTCACAGTCTTTCTTTGACTCAAATAAGAACCTTTTTTGAAAAATCACAACTTTTGCGAATAACTAAACATCCTTCTACCCTTTTAAATTAGGATGATGTCTAATTAAAACCCAGATCTCCAGACAAACTGTAGACACTAAACTAACATTTCCCAGAGAAAGCAGGGAATACACTGTTTTTTCGTTATAAAAACATTTTTGTGTCTCTTAAAGATGCACAAATGCAATTTTAAAGCCTTGTACAAGCGTGCTGTAATGTCTAAATCCTTCTTCCCCGGAGTGTTGGGCCAGAGCTGCCCATTGAGCATCTGTAGTTGGGCATCTCCATCCATATGTAGGCACCAAAGTAAGAGCTGATGAGGATCCATGACCTCTTAAATTCAGTTCAGATGCTTTTTCTGAGTTCCTTCCACATAAACCAAACACGTTCTGAGAAGCACTGACTGAAATTTAGCACCTTTTTTTTCAATGTTGGCGGCTAAGACCCTCCCTGCCCATTTTACATCACTGTAAATGAAGGTGTGAACTTCATAAACCTTGAGTTCTGTTGGTGTAACCCTCACATGGCCCTTCTTGGCTTCACTAAAGAACCACAAGCCACAGCTGCATTTGCTGTGTCCTCCTGGGAGTTATGTGAGGGCGGTGGTGCCAGACTTTCCATGTGAGTGAGGGTGTAGTCCAAATGCAAAGCAATATGGTCTCTATTCCCCTGTATGGATGACATTGCCCTGTCCTGCCTCTGTGGTAGCCTAATGCTTGATTCCATAGTGCTTGAAAATGAAATCGTGTTCATTAACGTAGAATCACAGAATCCTTTGGGTTGGAAAAGCCCTCAAAGATCATCAAGTCCACCCATTCCCCAGCACTGCCAAGGCCCCCACTAGCCATGTCCCCAAGTGCCACATCCACATGGCTTTTAAATCCCTCTGGAATGGCGACCCCACCACTGCCCTGGGCAGCCTG